ATAACTATTTTAATTAACATTAAAATTAATCGAGATATACATAAATTAGCTCGAATATCCACAGTTAATAAAAACTAGAAGAAAATATTAAGAAAAAGATATTAAACAAGATGCGTAGATATTTAAATTTGTATATATATTTTTTAATTAAAAAAAAAAGGAAGTAGGAGAGTAGGGACCAGTATGACAAAGGAATCGGGAAAACACGGGAGAACCACATGGGCGTGGACCAGTGTTGAGGTGGAGGTGTCGCCACCCTTTTCACCTCCAACCCCAGAGCCCATATCACCATTTTTAACAAAATAAACTGTTTTTAAAATTAGTTACAAATATTTAACTTCACATACACAAGTTTTAATTAATAATTATATTATATATATACAATTTGCTAATTAAGTAAGTACTAAACTCAATTTCACAAATATTAAATTAATCATAAAATGCTGCATTTATTTTATCATGTTATTTGGCTGACATACATTATTCATGTGCGTCTTTGCATTTATTAATAATGCTCTGATACTATGCTAGATATTTATATTGAAACAAATATCTTCAAATGTTTCGATACTTTGTCGATTTATCACCAACTTATAATTCATTAAATTGCTAGTACTCGTATGTACAATTCTAATTGATCTAGAAACACTAGCTAGTGTGTTAGATATCATATATTAATAGTAGGATCAAAGAATCTTTTGTTGGTAAGTATATATATATAACAAGTGTTTTTGGAGTCTTGTAACATTTGAACACATATGTAATTGAATCGAGGCTCTTAAAATCACTATATCTCCTTATTATAAGTAATGTTAACTTTCAAAAAAAAAAAAACAATAACATTTATTAATTAGGCTCGTACAAGACAATAAATATGGAACAAGAATTTGTTGAATATACAGATCAAGACATAACAGAACAATACTATGTGCTGCTTCAAGGTAGATCAAAGATCCGTAAAGTTATCTGATATGTTTTTACCCAAATTCAACTGTTTCGAGAGTGATTTTTGAACTTTCTCTAAATGTTGGATTGATTTCAATAGATTTTTTCAATTTTTTAATTAATAATTCTATATTTTTAAATATTTCAAGACAACCCTAAAATTCAACGGGGAAAAAAAACACTTATGAAAATTTGTTAAAGAGATAAACGAATGGACTGTTTGACAATTGCTGAAAGATTTAGTACAGAATAATTAAGTGGTCAAAATGATTAAGAGACTCTCATGAAATTAGGGCTCTTAATGGTTAAGGGAGATTTATGATACAAAATCATTCAGAAAGTTTTAGAATTATCAAGAGATGAACTTTTTTTGTCCAACAAGATTCATCTCTTAACGATTCAGATGTTTTTTTTCAAGTATATATTATTTATATACAACAAATAGAACAAATAAACTCACACAACCTTCTCACCTTTGGTGAGGTTTGAACCCTTGACCTCCTAAAAGGCCAATGACTTACATACCGCTAGGCTAAAGACCCTTTGATAACGATTCAGATATTGTCTTTTAACAAAACTATTAAAAAATAAACAAACAACCCCGAAAACGTAACTCAGAGCTTGATAGGCCCGTCCCCAAAATCCAATCATGTTAGAAGGGTAAAATGAGAAGGTCAAAAATGGTGAATGTTTTTGTGATTAGTAAGTGCAGTTTCTGTTTATGATTTGTGAAGGGGGGTGGGACCCAAGTTGATGATCCCAAAACCGATGTTGACGTCTGAATCCGTTGATCCCATCATGTGGGTCCCATTGGATAAAATGTCGAATTGTGATTCTGCATCGCGTATGAAGCGCGTGGATGGTCAACGGCAGCCACCATTTGGTTGTTACAACTCACTCGCGGTCATGGAGCGTCAACCAGGAGTTGACTGCCCTCGTGCTGTTCATGTGGGTCACTCCAGGTTTTCATATCCTATATTTTTGCTGAATAATGTAAATAGTTTTCAAGCCCACTCCCACTTCAAGCGCGTTCATATACTCCCTTTTCAATAAATCTCTAACCAATCAAATGCAAATTTGATCCCAAATTATATTTAGAGTTAAATGCAAATTTAGTACTTATAGTTTATATAAATTAATGAGTAAGGTCTATAAAAAGAATTATTAATGAAGGATGTCCCTCGTTAATATATCTTTTCAGGGACCATATTCGTTAATTTATGTACACCAGAACGACCAAATTTGTATTTAACTCTTGTATTTAATTGGGTTAATATTCCTACGTAATTCATCCGTTAAATAGGTAACCAAAGAGTAGTTTACTAAAATTCTTATCAGGTAAGTATTTACCGAGTGTTACTTACATGTTGCTTACCTTGCGGATGACAATGGCAATGACTATAATCTTACTCAATAAAAAAAAATAACAATGACCAAGAATTTTACCGAATAAGTGAGTGAGAAGACTCTTATCGAACAAGCACTTATCAGGTAAAAGATATTTACCAGCAATCGATTTTGATGACCGAAAAGATAACCCCATAGGGATATATATATGTCATCGGTTATGCATATACAATTTAAATACATGTCAACGGTTATATATTACATGTATGTGGAGCTTTCTAGAGCATTCACGCTAATTGTTTTCCATTTTTTAAACCTATTTAACATCTTTAAGTTTTCGGTTGATTTAAATTGTAAAAATGACACACGGTTGTGAGTATTAGATGTCAGCAAGGTTTGTCACACATGAGGGGAGGCACCATCTCATAATGGGTGACTAACTATGTGTGAGCCGGTCACACCCAGGAAATGTTTGCAATTTATCAGTCCATGTTAAAAAACATTATTTCATTTATGGGAATGAATTACATCAAGTAACAAATATAATCTAATAAAAAATTATCTAATATCAATTAAAAAACATTATATAGTAATAAAATATGTAAAACAATAATAGTATTATATATATATATATATATATATATATATATTTGGTTTGTGTTGTTCGGGTTATTCAATTTAACTGAATTAGAAATAATTAAGTGAAATCTCATTTGATTCTGGTGGGCTATTCGATTTCAGTTATTTTTTACACCCCTACCTGAAAAGCAAGACAAAATGACTCATAATCAACCAGACAGTTTATGATATCTCTTGTCTTTCATAAATACATATTTTCAAAACTTGCATAATGTATTATGTGAAGTTCTGAATATTCAAAATAAATGATTTTATTCATACACACCATGAACTCATTATGCTTTATAAACTAACTATTGTATACATGTCAGAACGTGAAATTTCGAGGTTAAACATGAGAAATGGGCAAACGTAGAAAGTTGGTTACTTATTTAAATCCGCTTTTTATGATAGACATTTATGAATAAGCCGTTATTTTAAAGTATTTATTTATGTTGCTGCAATTAATAAATATAAAAAATTCATTGATTTTTTTAATTTATGAAAATATTTTAATATTTTTGATATTAGAGATGAAAAGTAGGATATGAAATGGAAAATAACGTAGAGTTGAGTAATTCGTCGGGAATTGTTGCGCGTGGGAGTGAAAGAAGAGAGGGGAAAGGGCAACATGTCTCAAGTGTAAAGGATGGGTCCTACCACGTCAATTCCTTTTTAAAAATGGCGTACGGTTATTATGGGGTGTAAAGTGCATGGTCTATCATGTAGCCGAGGTGCACTGTATCACACACTCCTCTGCTTCATCTTACGCATTGCCACGCCTCCACTACTTTCAATATTTCTCCTTTTACTTTCAACATTTTCCAACTTTGCCCCCTCAATTGTTAAAACATACTATGGCAATATCCTTTGCAACTTATAAATACCATGGTTCTAAAAGTTATGATTTAACAAATTAATTAATAAGTTAGTTGATAGTTTTTTCATAAAATTAATTTGTAAAAATATAAAATGAGCAAAA